AACGAGGTCTGCCTAGGCCAGGAATCATAAATGTCCTAATTAAACTTTAAGAACATTTCCTCAAAATATTAACAAAAGTAGTAAAATGATTTTGAATTCATGTTTAGGAATCAAATCTTAACTAAACAAATTGGGTAAAATTGCAGTAAATCAAACTTTAGAAAAATATTTGAGATAAAAAGTGACGTCAACTTAAGAATATTTTGTTTAAAAAGATTTGTGATACGTCATGGGTACTGTACGTTGTCTGGTTTTAATATTCCGTCTTTGCGTATTGCAGAGTTATCTTCTCTTGGGAGCAGGTATTGATTGTTACGTCACTTGTTTGTGAGAGTAACGTCATCGATTTTTGAGAAAACAACGTAATTTTCTCACACAGACCAATGACGTAACAGTCAATACCTGCTCCCAAGAGAAGATAACTCTGCAATACGCAAAGACGGAATAAAGGAGTCTTAAATACAAGATACAAACAATAGCACTGTAGTATTCTTGCAACAAAATAGACTTATATAGACTTGTGACAAAATAGTAAATGATTTGAGAAGAGTACTACTGTACTAAGCCTGATCATAGATTTTTATTCAAATTCCATACAATTAAAAAAATCCCAAGAAATCTTTAATTAACTCAATACATGGCACTTCATGATAATATACAATGTGTGATACAGGATAAATCTAAACCATTAAACCACTGTGCACACTACTAATCTTTGATCCAAGTTTTAAACAATATACAGTTCCCATGAAAATGTCAATATTTATAGCTTTACTGGTAATTGTCTATGTGGCCCAACACCCAGGTGTATAAAGTATCTCAATAATAAAAAAGACTGATAAAAGAGAAACACTTCGGCAAATGATATTTAGCGTCATTTAGAAATGACTTTTGTTTCATATGTGAAAAATAAAAGGAATGTTCAAAAGGGATTATATATAAAAAGAGAGAATTTCTTTATCTATGCCTTGAAGACATGTACTTAAGTTTTGACACAATGTTTTTAATTTTCTGGAAAAGCCTCTTCATTTTTTTGATGTCCCAATGCTTGTGCAATAACAACATAAAATATTGATTTCTCTAATGATTATCTTTATCTAATTGAATATAATATTTGACATCTCATAGTATTTTATTTCACATAATCATATACAATTGTTTAAAACCTGTCAATAGTTACCCTTTAATAGATGGTCTTTTTGAAAATTATCAAAATTTAATGTTAAACTGACAAATGGTCTGAAAACCATTTTAAATGTCTACCCGTGTGAACCTCCTGCAATCATTTATTGAAAATCATATGAAATTAAATCAAGGTTTTGATGTTTTTTTATCGAACATGTTGATCTTTCAGCCATGAGATGTTTAAACCAATCTTTAGATACTTTAATATTTTTTATTCTTTATCTTTCTATCAAATAATTTGAGAACATTTTTCTTTCTTCCTCTTACACAAATTTCACAATTCAGCATTTATTTGAAAAATAAATATGCAATTCATGATTTAAATATACATGCATAAAAATATTCCTTGCTCACTACCCATGTATATAAAAACAAGAGTCTTTAAGTTCTTGTAGAGTGTTATTACCAAAAAACAGTCGGGCAGTTCTGACTTCTAAAACCTTAAAACAGTTAAGCCTTGTTGTAAAACTATAAGAAGTTGACTCCAAGTGGGTAGATCATGTAACATGATATTTTTATTCATAAATCAATTTGATTGTACTCATTGTATGTAAGTTGTTGGACTAAATATGATCAACTCATTGTTATCCATACTCCAGTTGAGTAGTACAATAGCATGTCTTTGTTGTTAATTACTCCGATCGGTTGTGATTTATTGAACTGCCCTAATACTTCAGTTATAATGGTGAACTTCCAAAATCTTGTAAACAGATCATAAGTAGTAGAGGAATTCTTAGCTATATTCTATATTTTTACAGGTATATAATTCTAAAAGAAAATTGAAAGGGACTGGTTCCCTTTATTATATTTTAATTCTTACCTTTACTCCTGGCATTCAGTTGTTAATTACAAAATATGTTTAAGTGATTGCAATTATCTTGATATTTATTGTTTTGTAACAACTTCGGACAATTGTATTAAAATTTCTAATAAATTTACCAAGGAGATATCCAGTTCCATGAAAATAAATGATTGGATATTTTTATTACTTTCCAAGGACAAATAGAATTTTGAAATTAACCCGATATTGATGAAACTTAAAAATAGATAAAAAATGTTACATTGAGTTATTGGATTTTTTTTTTTATCTTTTCTTATGTTTTGTGAAATGGTTATAAACTTTTCACTGTTGGTATTAGTTTCTGTAATATATGAATCAATTTTTTCCATAATGCAAATCTATGAGTGGCATACAAGAAAGGAGAAAAATTAATTTCAGTAATGTACACCAAATATTAATATTTTAAGCAGTTGACTCATATTTCACTTCAAAGGAGAATCCAAATTTCTAGAGTCAATTCATAAGCTTCGTAGATGCATGGCTGGTGTAACCGTTTTAGGCCGCCATGGAAACACATTTTTCCAATTAGCAAATTATGAGTATGTTCATGTCCAACATTACTAGTCTATAAACACTTACAAAATTCCAGAACCATGCAATAATATGCCTAACTGAAATATCTGGAAAAAAATTCTTTCAGATGTTAGACAAAGGTTCTAACAGTTCTTCTGAAAATATTAAAGTAAAAAAAAAAGGAATAATAAAACATTATTAGTAATTATGATGCCAATTTGTTATAAATTCAATTAAAATTTATGGTGTAAAATATTGTTCATGATTCTGTTAATTTCTACTTAAAGATCAAACTGTGTCAGGTCTTAATTGTACATAGGATAACGGTCGCCTTCTAGTTTCGAGCTAGAGTGAATTTCCCTTTAGCTCAGTGGTAGAGCGTAATCGGTATGACTAGGAACCTGGAGATCGAGGAAGCGCACTTTTCTCTCTCCTGTTACAAAACTATAGAGTATGCACATTTTTTTTTATATTTTTAAGATATGTACAACATTCATGAAACACTATGGCAACAGACCTTACTGTTAGATCTAGTAACCAGTCTTGAATAGACAATCTTCAGTACATATCTAAACCAATACACAAAACCGTTACATTTTGTTTAGGCTTCCATAAGTATATTTATATTATATAGTAAGTTTTTTCCCTGGTTATATGATGTCTTTTCTAACCCAAACAAAGAAAACACGCGGCAACCTAAAAAGCTGTAGGGTCTTACGCACAGCATACCCATGCTGCTGCAGTGATGTGTTGTTATGCGAGTTTTCTAAACTTTGATGCGAGGTGTGTATTAGGGTTGGCGAAGTTATTGTGTGTTCATAAAAATGTAACGATCTAAACAACAATATTAGCCAACACTCAGAGGATGACATGGTACAGACATGTGTCTAGGTATTCGTGTCAACAGGTGCAAACGTTAAAATGATGGGACGATCACAAAATGAGTTTTACCTCCGATGGCCTGTAAAACCATGCAAAGCACTAAAGCCAAGTGCCCCTGCATAACTCCAGGGATTGAAAGATTCCAAAAAACACAAACTTCACATGTGTAACATTACACAATTAATCCACTGTGGTCAAAAAGAGTTAATAAATCCCAGTAATTCCACAATTGTTAATTCCATATCCGATTCGAATTCACCCTAAACCGTTTCGACCCTAATACACTCTATGCAAAACTTTTCGCTCGTGTCACCGTTCAATGAATAACACCGTCCCACTTTATCCCTCCGCTTCTTGCGTGGGTACGCTGCCTAAATTCCTTCACAGGTAAATAGTAGGTTATTGATTTTTAAACAGTGAAACAAACACAACATCACCAAGTTTGTTAGGGAAAAAATATGTATGCATCCTGCTTCTTATTTGAGCGTATTAACCACAGCACGACGGAGGGACTATTTCTCGTAATGCTCTATGCGGAGGTAGACAGACAGCTGCACGTTGTTGACATAAATCACAGTTTGAAGTGCAGGTTCGCGCGAGCTAGTCACGCTTGGATGCTGACAAGATTCGGCACACGTCTTCCTTCCGACACACTTCGCGAGGCCATTGGAGGTGTGGCGTAATATATTTCTACTAATTGGAGACATGACGCTGTTCCCAAAAAACTAACGGGGCTTTTTAACCACATGCTATCACAGTAATACCGTTATAACGGTACTGACTACTGCTTATTGAGTGACACGGGATTCGGAAATTCACTGCCCCGCGGGATATTTACATTACAACGGTCTTATCGAAAAGTCTTGTAGGTTTAAAATTTCATAATATTAGTAAATATTTGGCTTTGTCGTGTTAAACGTAATCACAAAAATGCACACTCTAAAATGATACTGAAGTTAAAATGGTTGAATCACATTTAATGTTTAATCCATTTCACATGATGGAGTCATGCTGTAAATGTAGGCATTCTTCATGCGTATAGCCCACTTAGTTCACCTTCCTTTACATGAAAACATACAGACAATGCAATAAACAACAACACTATAACATACAAAAATCGCGACACATTTTACATGTGCATTGATTAAGTCTAATAAACTGAGAAAGATATTAATTGTTGGACAATTTTCGACTGAATAGTCAATATGGTCAGAATATATCAATCAATCAACTTTATCGCATTTTACATCCAATTTACAAGGATCGAGCTGCAATATATAGCATTGTGCAATAGTAAAATCGGGGCATATAGCTGTAAATATTGTATATTTTATCATACATTGTATATTGACCATATGTAGGACGAGCTTCATGCTCAATATGTTATCAATAATAAATAAAGCCTTTATTATTATTATAAAAGTACTGACATGCTACACATCCGTACTTAATCAACTAAAACATGACAATCTGTCAATAATTATTATTAAAAACTTTAAATCATAAATGCTAGATGAATTTCAAATAAAAAGTCAATAACAAGTGTTTCTTATTCAGGTAGTTACTACTCTTAACAAGAAAATGTTAACTGTTCATGGACATTCGGAAGGGTGTAAGAGAAATTAGTCAAAGTGAAAGTAGAAGTAGACCGGATGAAGGAACTTCCCGTTCCGCTAGATGGCGCTCTTTGATATACTTCCGGTAACATTTCCCACGTGTTGTAAACATTTTGACAAATTTCATAAAAATGGTCCGTAAATTGAAGTTTCACGAGAAGAAACTGTTGAAAAAGGTGGATTTTATATCATGGGAGATTGACAACAACTTACATGAACTGAAGGTGATGAAGAAATATTATATACAGCGCAGAGAGGACTACACAAAGTATGTTTATACAAAACTTGTGTTGACGTTACGTTGACAGCTTGAGATGAGATAATGTATGTAGTCGACATATATCGTCACATTACTTATTTGAGAAGTTCGTTTTTAGTTGATATCTTTTTTGTTTTTCCTTCTTCTATCACTATGACATGGTTTGAGAAAGTCGTTTTCTTTGACTTGTTGCTCAGGTTTTGTATATCATTATCATAGTCTTTTTATAACAAAAAAATGTTCTACACCGCACACTACAGCTGCTGCACACAGTATACATAGGGATAATCCTGGAGGGAGCCATGGGGCCATTGACTCTTCGAAACTGGATTTGACCCCTCCATTGTCCAATTTTCTTTTAACTTTACAAAGAATGGACTCTCTTAATTTTGATATTGACTAAAAATTCTTGAAATGGTCCACTGCTCTCATTTCCAGATTTCCCCCTGATTTCATCATCTCTTGATTAATAATTATTTGAAATAAACTATTGCTAAGATTTCTTTCATTTGATAGTTATTTATTCAAAAGACATGATCCCAATGAGTATTCAAAAAAATACTTGTTTCTGTTATCATCTTAACAAAATAGGAAAGGTAGGCATTTTTTCTTATTTTAGAAAATATTTTTACTATGCTTGTATAGAGCAGGAGTTCTGACTTAAACAGTGCATATCACTAAATGCAAATAAAAGCTTTATGATAGGCACCAAAATCTAGGGTAGGTATATGTAGGGTTAGCGGAAACACAAGATTTGTTTATATTTGGCCTTATTGTCTTTAAGATTAAGAAATAACTGAAATATATTGGTAGTGGTTATCCAGATATGTTACATTTATAATTTTGTATTTAATGGTGAATAAAATATGTCAGCTAATGCTTTTTGCAGGTATAATAAGATGTCGCGAGAGATTCGAGAACTTGCCAGAAAGATCAAAGAAGTTGATGTAAAAGATCCATTCAGAGCTGAAGCAACATCCCAACTCTTAGAAAAGCTGTAAGTTTGTTGTTGCATTTTTTTTGTTAACAGTGAACTAAGCATCACAACATCTGTGTAAATTCAGGCACCATACTGAATTTCAGAAAGTTCATGATTATAAAAAAGTGGATGTATTGAGAATCAGGTCTTTTGCTAATTGATGATACCAATGCCTAAATTTCTCTGCAAGTAGAGTCTGTCTACTGATCAGAAGCTGTATTCCAATGAAAGTGTGTTGTTAATACTGCTGTGACACAGATGATTTACAGTTTTTGGAGGTGAAAAATACTTAGTTCACAAATTTTCCCTTCAACTTGAATGCCTTAATTATTATTTATTAAGATAATAAATTAAGGAAATGGTCTGTTGCCAACCACCAGTATGTGGACTGTGTCCCCCTCCCCCCTGAATAATTATCCCCTCAGACAAGCTTACCTGTAGCCAAAATTAATCCTTGGTAGCAATGTTGAACTATGGTTGAAGTTATATTAATATATCTTCATTGTAATAACTTGGGTATGAATGTCACTGCAGCATATACCGTTTTTCTATTTCCCAAATATTTCACAGGATGCTTTGGGTAGTTGTATTACCCCACCAAACCTTGATTCCGTTTTCATTTTCTTTGTGTCTTACTTGTTGATGGTCACACCAGACGATTTACTGGTAACTAATTTTAAGGATCCTTACACTACTGTAAATATTGCAACTATGCATTAGAATTTTCTCTCTCATTTTCCTGTGTGCAAGATAGAGCTGTCCAGGGTAAGAAAGGGGTGTAAGAAATGTCTATCTTATGTACACCTCATTTCACATGACGTTACGTCACAATGGCTCAACAATGACGTGACGTCACAAATTTGGAAATCTCTGATGCAGGAAAAGGCAACATGATAAAATAAAAACCTTTTAAAATATAATTATGTACCGTATACGTTAGAAAAATGTGATATTTTTTTCTGCGCGAGCATTTGGAAGTATTGGGTATGCTCAATCTGATTGACATATTCATTTACGTCTAAAAAGCTCAGGGGAAAGGGATGTTCAAATTTGGAAATATCCTCGGGAAAGCCTCAGGTTTTATCAAATTTGAAAACCCCTCGGGTGGAATTTCCCTATCCTTCACCCATGGGCATGAAAGAGTCTTATACTCCTGCATGACTAAAGGTTTGATAAATTATTTCAAAAAAGAAAAAGCATGCCTTGCCGAACTTCTATGAAAAGTAATAAAGATGAATAAACAACAAAAATCATGAGTAGTATTAGAAGTGTAAAAATGAAGTGGGCAAGACCCGGATTCAAACTATGGACCTTTGATTATTAACTGTTAGTTCAACCATCTGATCTACCTGGTTATTGGCGGTTTCTTGGTCAAGGCGCACTACAATTATAGCTTAAAACAAATTTAAAGGGAGGTTACTCCCTGTACAAAAACACTACAGTTGTGCAATGGGACAAAGTCCCATTATTAATGATCTACTAGTAATATACATAAAAACTTTCTTTATTTTACAACAATAATGAAATAAGTTATACAACTTCCATTAATCACTGTTGATGGCCTGGATGTTAGTGCACAGAGAGTGGTACGAAATAGGAGTGCCTGGAGAAAACCCATACGTAGCAGCCACCTGCCCCCATATATTTACACATCCGATCAGGGACTGAAACCCCAGCCATCTTTTAGAAAGGCGAGTGTGCCTTCCACTTTTCCACTCAACCACCTAATGTCCTAGCCACTCATTCATCAGAAATACTACTGTAGAAAATTAAAAAGGGTGTAAGGAGGGTATATAGATGCATGAAAATCAAAGTTAATCAATACAATTTTGAATAGATACATTAATTGTGTGTTTTGGTAGATGCATTTAGCAGAAACATCTCACAATGATCTAAATAATGGTTTTAATGGTAAAAATATTAATTTTAGCATCTAGATCTGTTAGACCTGCACTGCAGGTATTTATGACAGCATTTAGTCATCTGAAGATCCAGATGGGAGTTTAAATACCCTGTTGATAATCTGCACACCCACAACACAATTCAGTAACACGATCATTTTTCCTTTTAGAAACAATGCTGAAATAGTACTTAAGTTTTAGCTGTCTATTTACTCTTTGATTCTAAATCCAATTGATACATATATTGTAGGTCAAGGTCGAACAGTATGTCAAAACATCTTAATTGAATGAATATAGAATATTGCCATAATAGAAAGGCTGCCTACATGATTTAGACACAATAGAATATTGCCATAATAGAAAGGCTGCCAATTACATGATATTGACACAATAGAATATTGCCATAATAGAAAGGCTGCCAACATGATATTGACACAATAGAAAGGCTGCCATAATAGAAAGGCTGCCAACATGATATTGACACAATAGAATATTGCCATAATAGAAAGGCTGCCAACATGATACTGACACAATGGAATATTGCCATAATAGAAAGGCTGCCTACATGATATTGACACAGTATAATATTGCCATAATAGAAAGGCTGCCTACAAGAACATGCTATTGACACAATATGATATTGCCATAATAGAAAGGCTGCCTACAAGTACATAATATTGACACAATAGAGTTTTGCCATAATAGAAAGGCTGCCAACATGATATTGACACAATAGAATATTGCCATAATAGAAAGGCTGCCTACATGATACTGACACAATATGATATTGCCATAATAGAAAGGCTGCCTACAAGTACATGATATTGGCATAATAGAATATTGACATAATAGAAAGGCTGCCTACATGATATTTGCATTATAGAGATGCTGTAAAAAGTATATGGCTTTAATAAATTGAGGCTTAAGATATATGATTTGGCACTGATATATAAAAGCTGTGTATCTTAAACGATTATAATCTATGGTAGCTACTAGTTTATGTTTGTATGTATAATATTGGTCTGATACCGAGGCTGTATGTATAATTAGGCTATGATAGGAGGGCTGGAGAGGTGATGAGTGAAGACGACCTGTATACCCTAGCAGGTTTTTATGACAGATGTGTATAAATACTTTACCTTGGAATGATCGACAGCTCGAGATGGTTATAACTTTTTCGGCTTAATGAAAACACTCAAAAGTATACAGACACGCCAAGAGGCCTACTCATGGGGCTGTACAAGGAGTAGGGTTAATTTCTCCACTGAGATGGTCTGTGATTATATAGAGGTACAATGAAGTCATTCTGTAGACAACACGGGCCTCAGTGAGGCAGCAGAGGGTTGGCAGTGTTAAGTAATGGTGCCTTGATGACTATAGGGACGGCCCAGAGACTTTTTGAAGGACCTCTCTGATATTGCCATTATTACTAAGTTAATGGTAGAAATGTACTGTAACTGGGGGCAAACCCCTCCAAGCTTTCTGATGCCGCCAAGTACCTACATGTATACTCAAAGCAACATGTCCTTGTGCATACCAAACAAACTTCATGTGCAAGTCTTAGGATTTCAAATGTACAACGTATTGGCTTCCTGGATTATTATTTAAATGGCATGTACATTGTTTTGTTAATATGGCAGCCATGATACTAATCAGTATGCAAGAACAAAGCTTGTGAAACTTGCTGTATCCAGTGTCTTTGTTAAAATAGTGTCAGGATATATCTCTGAAGGTTTTAAAAAAGAGGAAATATTTTGTAAAACAATTAATGTCATTGACAGTATTGTGTTAAAAGAAGCATTAGAATTTGCGGGTCAACATACAGGGAAGCAGTTTAAGCTTGACTTTAAATGAATAGTTCTGAAGTCAATGAAGTCGAGATGAGTACTCTTATTGTTTTGCTGTGTTTGATGCTGATATCCATCGAAGTACAACCTTACTAATAAAATGTTCCCCTTCCCATGAGGATTGGACAGAAAAATCTCAACCATGTGGGCGATTATCTTTCTTGTCTAACCTGGGGTTTGCTTCTAAACAAGGGTTAGATATTTAAGAATCTTACCAAGAGTGTTGAAATTTCTCTTGCACCCTAACAAGAAATAATTACAACAGTCATAAAACAATTTTATAAATACATATTAATCACTGTTGTGTGTCTGGATGGAATCATAAAAAGGGTCTTAACAACCCGAAGAAAACCCACCATGTCAGACAGGTGACCCCATATAATTTCAAATCTGATCGGGATTCATCTTGATGAAAAAGCGAGCAATCTAAACACAGAACCACAAAACAATTAATAATAATAACAATTTGAGGTTCTTATATACTGCTTTATCACAACCTAGTTCGTAGGTCCTCTCAAAGCGGTTCACAAAATATTATCCGTGGTTATAGGGCCTTTGGAACCAGACGATAGCTTTCTCAACTCCCTGGGGAGCATCCAGCTGGTTGTGCCGTTTCATTGCTCACAGCTAGCATTCAACAATTTTAGCACTGCCCAACCACATTCTCATTTACAGCTAAGTAGACTGGAACAAGTGGAGTAAAGAACCTTGCTCAAAGATACAACACAGTGCTGTGCCGTGACTCAAACCCGCAACCCTTCGGTCAGGAGCCCAGTGTCCTACCACTTGACTACTGTGCCTCCTACTTTTTCACAAATTTAATATCGTTACGAAAAAGTTCACTGAGAGAACAAGTGTGAAAATAAGTATACACATTATTAAGTGATGTGCAGTTGCTTTAGAGGAAAACATTGTGTATCTAGTATATGTCTAAAAATGTTTTATATGTTGGTCACTGTAAGGGCTTTGTTAGATGAAGGTTCTCAGGAACAGCTCCAGACGGGGAAGTTGTCGGTAAAACAGGACCGTTATATAGGGGGGTTATTTGTTAAGGATCAGCCAGTAGTTTCACCTTCGCCCTTAATCAAATTTATCCACATGGCTGTCTACAGACATAAGTACCAGAAAAGTTCTTCTTTAAAGGCACAAGTGTAAAGAGCTTCGTAGGGATCAGCAATGGTTTGACCTTCGACCTTGATTGGATTTATTGATGGGGCGTTTTTGAAGAATCAATATAACACTGATGCCCCTCCAGTATCTCGAGGCCTCA